AAAAAAAAAAAGGTCTGGTCATGTGTGGCTAAGGCAGGAGGAGTACCAGGAGTTCAAAGCCAGACTGGGCTACATAGTGAGACCCTGTCTCAAAACACAAAAACAGGGCTGGTCAGATGGCTCAGTGGTCTAAAGCACCTACTTAGAACAAGCTTAGCAAAGCACTGGAACCGCGGTTCAATCCCCCAGCACCACATGCCAGCCAGCCCCGCCCCCTGGTGGGCTGAGCTGCCCCCCCATAAATAAATAAATAAATAAGAAGCAAGTATTAAAAAAAAAAGTTATAAGGTTAATTTACAGTGGGCTGGGGAGATGGCTCAGTAGAATTAGCTCTTGCCTGGCAAGTGCAAGGACCTGAGTTCAATCCCTGGTTCTACCAAAAAAAAAAAATAAGGTTAATTTACAAGAATACATAGGCATCCAGATAATTGATAAATAAGTCAAAAACTTTCCTGACTTCATAGTCCTGACAGACTAACTGCAAAGAAAAATGTTAACAATCTCAGCAATTATTTATTTAATTTCAACTATATAAAAAGGTAAAACCAGACACCATGGTTTATTCATCTAATCCTAGCTTTCTGGAGTCTAAGGCAGAAGGATCTTTTTTTTTTAGGATCTTGAGTTCAAAGCCAGCCTAAGTTAGAGTGAGACCTTACCTCAAAACAAAAATAAAAATAGGACAGACAGGTAGGCAAATAGCACAAGAGGAAAGGTGGTAATGGGATAGCCCAGAGGAGGCTTCCTGAACGTGCAGCATTTGGACTGAGATCTGTAGGAGGAGGAGAAACCAGTGGGGCAAAGAAACAGATGAAATGCACAAGGAAAGAGAAGTCTGGGTAGTACAGTACCGAAAGACAGGGCAGGGTATGCTAAAGGGTAATAAAGAGAGCAAAACAATGAGTAAATTTGGAAAGTCAAGAAGAAAACATATTACTTAAGGCCAAACAGGTCAGTATAAGGAATATGGCTTTTTTTTGTACCGGGAATCGAACTCATGAACTTATGCTTGACAGGCAGGGTTGTTACTGCAGTGCTGGAAATACAAACCCAGGATCTTACACACAGTGGGCATCTACTCTGCTACTGAGCTGCATCCTCAGCCTTCTAAGGGTTTGAAACTAAGAAATGAGGCCAGGGATGTGGGTTAGTGGCACAGTGCCTGCATGGCAAGTGCAAAGCCCTGAGTTTGATTCACAGTACAAGAATAAACTAAGGAACGCGGGCCAGATGTGGTGGTGCCCACCTGTAAGTCCTAACACTAGGGAGGCTGAGACAAAAGGATCATGGTGAGTTTGAGACAACCCTGGGTTACCTGGTGAATTCAAACCAGCCTGAGCTACATGGTGAGTCTGCCTCAAAAAAAATCCATTGGGG